CTAGAATAAGTCCTTAACTATATCTTCTCTAACCTTCTTAAGAGAAAGGCTAAGAGGGCTAATCTTTAATATAAGAGCTAAAGGGTATATATTAGGATAAGTCCTAGAATATCTACCCTTCTTAGAAGAAAGGCTAAGAAGGCCTCTCTAGTAAAGATATACTAAATTAAGCCCTTAACTATATCTACCCTTCTTAGGAGAAAGGTAGGCTAAACTTTAGTATAAGAGCTAAAGGGTATATATTAAAATAAGTCTTTAACTATATCTTCTCTACCTTCTTAGGAGAAAGGTAGGCTAAACTTTAGTATAAGAGCTAAAGGGTATATACTAGAATAAGTCTTTAACTATATCTTCTTTACCCTTCTTAAGAGAAAGGCTAAAAGGGCTAATCTTTAAGGAGTATTAGTATATACTAGAATATAGTTAAGAGCTTTAGTAGGTGCTCCTCTATACTAGCGCTACTTAGTATATACCTAGCTATAAGTACACTTAAGGTTAGATTTAGTATATATAGAGGACCTATAATAGACACTTACCGCCTTTAGACTTTTTAACTCCTCTTTAGGTTATTAGTGACTCCTTTTGAACTGTGTGCCCTAATTTATGATGGTCAGCTGTTGGTTGTTCATTCACTTAACATCGACGCCGTCACATTTAGGCGGTGAGAAACGGCACAACTCAACTAGGCTACCTTGCACCGCCTCACCGTGTTGGCGCGCACCGCCACTCGCTGCCACGAACTAATTAATAGAGACAACGCAGCAGTGCACATCCCATCACACATCCCCGCCACAACTCGCGTCTTCCCCACTGGCATCAACCTCGCGCCGTCCGCCTCTCCGTGCCTCATCTTGGGCAATCGGCAATCCGGCTCGCCTCCGATTCTGGCCCTCGGCCGTTTTCTTTCATGGGCGCCGTGCCGCCGCGATCAATTGAACCATGGCTGATGCCGACACGTTCCGAGTATGCTAATGTCCCCTCTCCGACACTGACTTGCCGCGCTGCGCCTCCGTTCGCCTACCCAACACCCGACAGGCGACATCGGTCTGGCAGATCGCAAGGACGACCAAGCTGCCGAAATATTGACGATATGCTGACTTCGCTCGTCTCTCGCCACAGAAGTAATTACGCGATCCGCACAGTCGAACATGGCGGCCCCCCGGTATCAATCCAACGAGCTGCGACGCCAGGTCGGCTCGCCGAGAGTCAAACCCCGAGGTGAGTCTCAAGGTGATTTAGGATCGCTTGATTGCCGCGAGAAAAACCAGTAGAATGTATCCCGCGCAGAATTTCCGCCAAATATGAACAACAAGAAAATGAGGAGAACAAAAACGACAAAGCAGAGGAAGGACATGCGACACGTCACGGACAAACGATGCAGGCGCGGCATGGCGGAAACAATTCAGCATCACCGCTGACACGGAACAGAAAACAAGGAAACCCTCTGTCGAAACGTACTCATATATGGTCACTGTCGCTACGAAGATCAGGGTTGCACCTTCTCACACGACCAAAACAAGGGAAACAACCAAAATCAAAACCAACAAGACCCGTAAGTCTACCACTTGGCCCCATTGCATTAGATAGTATCATCCCCACCCACAAAGCATGATATGGTGCTCTTGACTCAACCTCAGCTGATGGCTAATAATGGCTAGGTCCAAAAAATCTCTAAATGTTGAGTCGCCATCATTCACGCCGGCCAATATCGGCCCAGCAGCGGCTGTCAAGAAGTCATTCACGTCCCAGGCAGCCAATGCGCCATCTTTTACGCCCCGTGGACTAGGTATGTGCTACTAGCTAGCGTCCATCACTTCTTGCTGACGTGTACAGCTGGCAATGCGACCCCAGTCGAAGGGGACGCTGCTGTATTCAACCCTGCGTCCATCCGCGAATTTACGCCGTCCTTTGACCCGAATTCATCTGCCGTTAGTAACGGTAGTGTCGATCCATTCAATATGGGGGTCGTTGCCCAAGGCCTTCCAGCGACGGCAGCGGCGGCAGCCGCCTTCAACCCTTACGCCGGAGACCACGGAGGGATGGCTGGAGCAGCGCAGCAATTCTATCAGGGCGGGCAGTTTCCACCACAACCGTTACAATATCATTTGTACGCACCCGTGGGGCCTCACCGCGAGGACTTGATGCAGTATCAACGCGTTACACACGACTTCTTCATGCCTGAGAAGCTGCGGGAAGAAATGCAGCGCAAAGCAGAGGCTTCGCTTCAGGTTATCAACTCACAGCTTCCACAACTTGACAACTATCACTCGCTTGTTGCGCTTGATACCACACAGCGCAAAAATATCAACATATTTGGATACCCAAGCTGGATCTACAAGGGGACATCGTCCAAGACAGGCAATATCTACTGCTTACGTCGCATCGAAGGCTTCAGGCTCACAAATGAGCAGGCGATAAGATCGGTAAAAGAATGGAGACGTGTCGACAATGCGAATGTTATCACTATACACGACGCCTTCACCACGAGAGCCTTTGGCGACAGTTCTCTCATATTTGTGCAAGATTATCACCCTCTGGCTAAATCGCTGGCGGAACAACATCTTACTGGGAACCCTGTACATGGGCAACGATTTCAACAAAAGCAATACGTTTCTGAACCGGTGCTTTGGGGCTACATCTCACAAATTGCGAATGCACTCAAGGCTATCCATTCAAACAATTTGGCTGCTAGGTGCATTGATGTCAGCAAGATCCTGCTCACGGGCAAGAACCGAATTCGTCTTAATGCCTGTTCTATCCTAGATGTGGTGCAGTTTGAAAATCGGCGCCCCACCCCCGAGTTGCAGCAGGACGATTTCGTGCAATTCGGTCGCACTATTTTATGCTTGGCTACTGGAACTCTGCCGGCGCATGTCAGTAATATCACAGCGTCTCTGGAGCAGATGACTAGAACACATTCGGCAGAGCTTCGCGACACAATTATCTGGCTTTTTACGCCTGCCCAAACGCCTGCGCAAAAGACTATTGACGAATTCATTAGGGGGATCGCTGGCCATATTGTCACCGCGTTGGATCAGAGCCAACACCAGGCGGACGAACTCAATACGGAGCTCTACCGAGAGCTAGAGAATGGCCGCGTCGCGCGACTCGTGATGAAGCTAGGCACTGTGAATGAACGTCAAGAGTTTGACGGCGACCGAGCGTGGTCGGAAAACGGCGAGCGCTATATGCTTAAGCTGTTTCGTGACTACGTCTTCCACCAGGTGGATGGTAACAACAACCCAGTGCTGGACATGGGCCACATGCTGCGCAACCTCAATAAGCTGGACGCGGGCACGGATGAGAAAGTTTGCCTCACGAGCCGGGACGAGCAGACGACCTTCGTCGTGAGCTACAAGGAACTCAAGAAGCAATTGGGGAGCGCCTTTAACGACTTGCAAAAGGGAAGCAAGCAGGGGAGGGGCATCTAGTCGAGCCCCTCTAAACGCCAGCGGAAACACCATCAGTCGCGCTCGCGGGCTAGCTGGCCATTGTCAACAACATCGAGGCTGCAGGGCTGGAGTGCTGGCTAAATGTCGGTGTGCGAAGGGGATGATGTGCGGGGACTGTTGTGTGCGATGCGTGCAAGCGCGTGTGGTTCGGTGTTTCTTTTTTATTCTTTTGGATTTTCAAGAAAGCGCAGATATTATCTTTTTGAGTGCAAGCGATGATTCTGTAAAGAGTGCCTGGACTAGCACTCGAGGTTGGTGAGTACATGGCGGGGATACGAATGGAACGCAGGTGCCAACCTGCATTAGAGCAGGGAAGCCAACAGGGTGCGTTTGGCTTGCAAGGAGACAAGGAAAGTCAACAGGCCACCGCGTGATGAAATTAGCTAAAACAACCCATTGAGAAAAAATGATTATTCATGATACTATTCCCAAGCAGGTGTTGTAAATAATATGAGGTGTGTGTGTCACCAAGACACCAGATTTCCTACCCGCCTCTCATCGTATTCTTATTTTTTGTATGATTCTGACATATTGCCTCGACGAAAGAGCATAGCCGTGGAAAATGGTCTTCAGCGGTGTGCGGCAGTCGTGGCGACCGTGGCACTGGGGTAGCTCCCTCAGTCCTGTCATTGTACATTGAGCCATCAACAAGCTTGTATTTCCCGAGTGACGCCACTTGGGTGCCTGTCACATGGTGTGTGAATGCAACGCGCGTATGTTGCGCATCACTCATCGTCGGGTTGGGCAAAGGGATTGGCAATCTCCTCGCTGTGCTTCAGAGGCGAGACGAGGACGAGGAGGGTGCCGCGGGCGACGACCAGGCCGAGGGATCTCGTAGATTCGTTGCCATCTTCGTCTGTGCCGGGGGGGCAACACATTAGCATTAGCACTAAAACATTGTAAAAAAAAAAGGTGGTGCGAAGACATCAGGGTATCGGGCCATACCGCGAACAGTTTCTTGTACGTCGTCGAGGACCAGGTTCATCAGCGCGTCGTAGCCCTTGAGCGTGCCCATGACTGTGCGCAACAAGTTAGCGATCCATTCGCTTGCCAGGTCGTGGTGAAGCGCGCACCTTCTCGGCCGCCGTTGAACTTGACGGTGATTTGCTCGTCCATGTACTTGCTGAGGTCGAGGATATTTTCCTTCTTGGGTCGCTCCCCGCCGTCAGCGCCGCCGGCGCCGCCGCGCGAGGCTCC